CTCTCTCTCTCTCTCTCTCTCTCTCTCTCCCCCTTCTTGGCCCGATTGTTTCGTTTCAAAAAAAGGAAAAACTATCCTTCTCACTCGTACACTTGCTCTGCTGCGTTTGATCGAACTTTTTCTCGGTCGTTGATTCGTACCTGACGCATGAACATAAAACGCGGTGTTAAATCGGTGACTTGAAAAACCGGTCCGGTTCTTTCACACCTCTGAGACTTCCTTCGCCACGTGATGTGTCGTTGAAAATATCGCGTGTTTATCGGGACGAAATACACGCGTATCGTAGAAGGATGATAAATCATCGTGATTAGGTTGTTCAGTACATCTGTGGACTTTGTTCGAACGATTGTATCGTATCTTGTTCGACGCTCCAGGCCATTGTCAAATGAAAACTTTGTAGCAGAAGGCAGGATACCGGTGATCTCAGACATATCTGTCAATTTGAGCACCGGCGATGATAAACAGATTGTACAGTTGAACTTTGTCGATCGATCCTTCCTTCGTTCGTTTCCTTTGCCATTTCAGATTTAAATTCGACGAGTCACTAGGAGAGGAACTAAAACAAGTATGTAACATAATAGTTCGTGTCTTTATTCGGAGCTTGGCTTCATTCAAGCTAATAACAAGAGGATAGAAAACGACCAGAGCCTCGCGATATTTTTTTACGAGACGCTGGAATGTTAATTCGTGGTCGGTAAACGAGACTCGCCGTTCCAAGACACTCTCGATCACATTTTGTTCCCATCATGCCGAAGCATTACTCCTCGAGTATGTGTATAATGAGTGTTACGCCAACAAGCATCCGTTTAATTAGACTGTTCGATTCTCCAATGAGACAGCTTTCGCCCCTCCCCTTCGAGAAGAAACAGACGAAGAAGAAGCCGCCGCTTTTCCTGCCGAGCAACTGTGTCGCGTTACTTGTCGAGAACGTCGCTGTCGAGTCTTTCCTTCTTGTCAGTAGCTGACGAGCTGTAAACGATTTTGTCAGCAGTCAATAGGTGTATTGAATTAAAGATATCCGCGAGTCGAGATATCGTCGACGACGACGACGACGACGACCGAGACACGAACGACGAAAGACGAAATGTGATCGTGCCTCGTCGTGCAAGGACGATTTTCACTGTTGTACCGCGCCCGCACAGCTGGTGTACCGCAATTCGTTTGAACGTTTTCTACGGCGAACGGTGGATTGTGTACTGTACATTACTAAATTTATATTTTTGGATGAAGAAACAAAAAAAAAAAAAAAAAAAAAAACCGAAAAAAAAAGCGAAACAAAAGAAAGGGAACGTAACGGCTGGTGAACGAGATAACAAGCCGAATTAAGGGAAAGAGAGAAAAGAAAAAAAGATCGCTTGTCAGAGCGAGCACGCCCGCCATTCTGTCGGTTCTCCAATGGTCGAGAGCCTCGGTTCTCGACGTCGTACATTTCGTTCGGATTCGCATCGACCACTTCTGCATTCACATTCGTTTCAGACAAAACAAGCCGAAGCTGTTCCAAGCGTTATTTCCGTCTGATTTCGCGAGCGATCGTCGCGTTTGTTCGCGTAAATTCTCTCGTTTCTTATTCCTTGCATCCGCGCGATGATCTGTTTCTTTCCTCTTTTTTTTTGCACTTGGACGAACAAAAACCTTGAACTTCGAAAGAAATTTGCGCTGGACTCGTACGAGTGCAAGCGGACGCCAAGAAAAGAGTATGACTTCTTCGAGCTACGAGCGTTTTTTTATTTCGTAGTAGATCGGTTCGTTAAACGTTTCCTCTTTCGAAACAAAGGAAAGAAACGTTTGAAGAACGAGATCAACAACGTTACCGAGTTTTAAAAACACGATGGATCGTATGTATATATATAATATATATCTCGGTGCAACGAAATGGAATTTAAAATTGTATCCGTTGGCGCGTCAATTTTTAACTCCAGTTTGTTGTTCGTCGTTTTAAATAAAAGCTTAAAGATGTGACGCAAGTTTCATTTCGTTGGTGTCAGTTTGAAATGACGATTGATCCCCTCATCCAAGCAGTGACGCGGAAGTGGTCACGCAGTTTTCTTATTATCTGTAATAATAATACTGATAACGAATACAGTGTATGAGTATTAACAAATTTATTAACGAGAATAATATATTATTGCGACAGTAATCTACGTAAGTGTTGTGAATAATGGAGATAATATTGTTGCTGTGATTACCTTTAAGATTGTAAGTAGTAGGATATAGAACCACTGTTAGGTGTCACTGTCTCGATTCAATAAATGTTATTTCATTTTAATGACAACGCAAACTCATCTGCATTCGTTCAGTAACACCACGAACCTTGTCCTTCGAGTGTGATCCTCCTTGGTGATTGTAAACTCTAAACGTATTGCGTCTCAACGTTTGGAGATTATAAGGGAAATCTTATTGTTCTTGTTTCTTTTCTTTTATCGCTAAAACTGCTTCCTTGTTTGCTTTTTAAATTAAAATATCTACCTTTGACACTTTCATCAACATTTTAATCATAAAAATTGCCATTGCTTTTCCTTTGTATCTCTACACTTCTTTACTAACGAAAAAGCATTCTTTACTCCTTTTTTTTAGATTATTTTCATCAAGTAATAATAGCAAGTGATAATATGCGAGAAATTAATTTATTTGAATATCATCCTTCCAGCCATGTGTTGGTAACAACAAGTTTATTTATTATGAATAATAATGAGAATTTATTTTACAGATGGAGGAAACGGAAAATGTCCATTTTGCCTGGACGTTCTTCAAGTTACGTTTATACATTTATGAGAAATTCAAATTCATTTTTTTTATAAAATAAACAGGACATATATTACACACACTTATTATTAAGAACTAATATTTGGTTGTTTTAGTTACAGTAATTACATTTCATACATAAATCGTAATATTGTCTTCAGTATAATAACTACAACGTAAATATAAATCACGAAAATGAAACAATGAAAAGTTTATCAGTCTTAACGTAAAATTAAACGTGACATAAAATGTTTTAAAAATGTGAAAGTAATGGAGTAGTTTCCGGAGTGGATACACTACTACATCTTAAGCACCATTGTTTCGAGAAACGATACAGCGCCAAACACGTCCACAGCACGATAAGACATATATCTAAAAACAAAGCAATTTAATTAATGTGGCCTGTCAACGGGATCTTCACAAGAGATTTTGATTAAATAAATTCTGGTAAAATATTGTAACGGATAAGGTGTAAATATATAAAAGATAAATTACCCTTGGTCTGAGTTGGATGTTGGATAATGGCTAAGTTAAATCCCTCAACGGCAATCCTCCTTATAAAGTTTATTATAATATATTTCAGAGTAGAACCAATCCAATAGTCAAGCGGCAGGATCATCATGAAGGACGAGAATATTGCACACGTAATAACAGAGGCAACGTCAAATAACAGTATCATGACCAAAGCTATACCAAGACTCAAAGTTACGAAGAAAGTCCAAAAAAACCCGTCGTTTTGCAGTATTGTAAACAAATCTGAAAGAAAAGAAAAAGAAAAAATGTGAAGATGAGAAAATTAAAAAATTCTCGAATAAAATCTTCGACTCTGTAGTTCATGCCAGTTTTTCCTATAACGGATGATAATTATTCGAACGAAACACGCACGCGGTTACATAAACCACGGAGAAACGTAATCAAACTGTGCGAAAGGCGAACACGATGAACAGAGAGAGGGTGACCAAGTGGATCATCTGTCGACAGGGTAGATCGGGACGGATATTCGGTGCAGTTACGCATGCATAGACCGTGTAATCTAAATAGGTCCTGGAGCTAAATAAATACGGGGGACACAATTAGGTAAATGCGAATCTTTCAAGCTGGTTAGATTGGTTCGTGGGAGTTGGCGCAGAGATCTCTGGCCTGTGTGTGCGCATTTCTCCACGCGA